CGGAGTGAAACTACCACTCGTTCACATTCCCACCGTAGGAGTACCGAAAGTTGGCGGCGGGAACACTTCCATTTGTCTCTTGGGGTGCCCTCAACAGGAAATCTTTTTAGTTTCCGTTCTGTGCCAGAAGTATGCTACTCTTTTATTGCACTGGTCTATCGCATTGAAACGCTTTGTCGCTACTCTTCGAATTCAGAATATTAGATTCAATTATTTCCTACGACACGACACCTAGTACGTGGCCGCCCCAGCGTATACTTTGTTCCATGCCTCCCCCCCCCCACCGGCTCATGGCGAGCCCAGGTATCTGTCTGTGCTGTGCCCACAGTATTGTTTTTGAAGACATATTTCCTTTCAGAAGCTGAGTTTAAATGCATGAGGCTTTGTACTCTGCAAGTTGTGGTCACGCATGGCTTATTCTCGCAGGGGAACCAGTTTTTGTGTATGGTTTCCTCAATTCACTAGTAATTCAAAGATTTAAGAGGCGCTCAGTTGCTTCAACAGTTTCGTATACAGCCACAGGGGCGTTTTCTGAAGTGTCTTTTATCTTGTTGGATCTATCGTGAAGGCTCTGAAAGATGAAAAATCCTAATTGGGTCAACGTTTAGGCATCTTTGCTTTCGTCTGAGTCTGAATCTGCCAAAAAAAAACACATAAAACCAATTTAACTAAACTATTGTGACTAATGGCAAACCACCTAACGGTATCGACTGGAAGAGAGATGACTAGCTCAGTACCCTGAGCCCTTCCGGTCTATCAAACTATTTACCAAAACAAATATAATTTTTTGTTCTTTTCGTCCTTATCGTGGACGATGGGTCTCAAGCGAGTGATTTATGGCTTAACACGTTGACGACATCGCATGTTTTGGCATTTTGCACCTCGTGGGACAGGAGCGATTTTGCGACCGCGCCGTCCTCACCTTACTTACGCTTATTTTTTGTTAAAAATGCACAATAACTTGAATTTCATAGGACTATTTCGGCAAGGACGATCGCACAAAGGTTAAGTATATAAGTAGCAAAAGGTTTTCGTTTAGAAGAGCGCATAATAACCACGAAGAAGTAAAAAAACATCACTTTCGCTGCGAATGAAATTAAAAGCATTCTAAGTACTCCCATCAAATCAAATATATTGAAACTCACAGAGTTTTGTTTCAACTAACTCTAAAATCTTTCATAAGAATATTGACGGCAGTGAAAGTATTATTAAGAAAGAATCGAACGAAAGTTTTGTGCGTTCGGAAAATCTTTGCTTAATCAAAAGATACTTGACCACTCTAGCTGCCAAGCGGTTTATAGTCATGCTAATGTATTATCTATAGAATGAATACAAGAAACCCGAGAGGAAGGAGCGCAAGCACGATAAAAGTGAGTAGCATAGACTTGACGCGCTTGCGCGTCAGAATGTCCGATGCGGTGCGAAATTCTTGACGCGCATGCGCGTCAGCTTGTCGTCAACGTGTTAAAACGGAATCATGGTTTTTCCGGGAAGGATTCCTTCAAGGTAGATGTGACAAGATATTCATCATGCTAAGCTTGAAGAAAAGTCGAACATGGACTGTCCTCACTTTCCGACCTTTGCTTATTTAGTGGCATGGATGTTCCACTTATGACATTTGTCATGAATGGTATCTGAGCGGATATTTGTCCCAATTAACATCTTGACTACGGTACAGTCTTTGATTTTTGGCCTTGTGGAACGGGCATGATTTTACGAGCGTGGCCGAACCGCCAAAAAAAAATAGGGATTTTAGGATCGATTATAATTACATTCAGGTATGATCCGTTGAGGAAATATAATCAATCTCGGTGGGAGTTAGCCGCGGGGAAAACTAACAGTAAGGGTGTGCTGTCACACGGTATCACACCGTACCACGTGGCCTGTGAAGCGTCGTACCCTTCTGTACCACGTAGGGATGGTGGCGGTGGGCATGGAACATCTAGCTCAAGCATATCCTCCGCCATTGGAGAGTAAAGTTTTTTTACAGATCATTCCGAGTGGGGTGACCCACTTTACACTAGGTCGTCTCGTGACGATGAAATTTGGCCAAATTGTCACCCGCCTCAAGGGTAGGGCTGAGTTGAGTTCCGTTTCCAGTTCCTACTTCCATCCCCTATATCTTTCCATTTTCTACATACTCCTATCCACTATACATACTGCTATCCCTCATGCCGAGAACTAAACCTTTTTCCTGAAAACTCTAGAGTAGGAATATGCATAAAACAGCAGAAATTCTAGAAATTCAATGAAATTGAACTTGGAAGTATTGTACATTGCCCATTTTACCGAGTAGCAACTATCTCTCCCCCTTTCCCTCCATATTTTAAGGGTCACAAGATACGAACCCCCTTTCGTGGGATCCGCAAAGTTGGCTCGTGCTGCACACACGAACGTAATTTCTGGGAATTGCAAACAAAAGAGAAATGTGATTAATTTGTCTATTCTTCGACTTCGGCTTCAATTGAGGCGTGATAAATTGTGATAGCCGCATACCTCCACTTGTTTTGTGCACTTTGTGGGTGGCCAACTTCAAATCTTTTCACTGAACAAAAAGAGGACGCCTGTACCAATAAGAATAAATAAGTAAAACGGTTTCATGAAAGAGTTTATCTATATTTTGCATATGAAAACAAATTTGGTGAGCAATTTTCACATAATGTGAAATCGCGCGGTCCATTTTTAGAAGTGACCGAGTGCCCATGGAATGTGGCGTTGAGAGAGGCGTTGTGCGGCGACTGTCGCCCATCGACGCGCTTCGATGGGACTGTCGTCGTCAGAAAGTCGTTGTTACGTCATTCAGACCTGCTGCGTTCGCGTGCCGCTCGTCTGTACGCCTATTGAGGCGTTCTCGGTCTCGTCGTCGCTCATATCTCGCACCTGACGCAACTCGATTGGGACCAGTATCTTCTGAAATGATAGCAGTGTGATATGGTCCATGTTAGGCTAGTGTCAGAGTCCGCGATCCGTCGCGCGACGCGCGATTCGCGCGAATCGCAAAAATCGCAAGTGCCCCATTTGAACATTTGAAACACTGAATATGAAACAAGTAGAATCATGAACAGTCGTCATTCAACCATCACCATCAAGCAGAAATGGCGGCGGGATTGGAGAGCACCTCGCAGTATTGATCGGGCACTTGTGATTTCTGTGATCCGTCGCGCGAATCGCGCGACGGATCGCGGACTCTGGCACCGGCTTTAGTTGAGTTCCCCGGTGATTGTGTCTACCAGTAACAGATACCCTATCGGGCGCCTGTATGGACGCAGTAGTGTAACATTCTGGTTCATGAGATTCTCGTCTACCTTCATTTCTGAAGAAGCTATGGGGGTAGTCTGGTATGGGAGTATCTGTTCATGCTGTGACCCCTGTTCATTCTTGGATGAGGCTTTCAACAACTAAGGGACAGGTGTAGATCAAAGCCAGTTCTTCTAGTATAGCCGTACCTGATGTCCCAATTGTGGTTCGCTGAGGAAGTATCCACGAGTGACCTTCTCTTCACCTAGTGACCGCATGTTGTCATACAGCACGAATACGGTAATTGCTGCTGCTATTGCTGAAAAATTAATTTTTGCGCCAATGTCTGTCTCCGAATACATATTGGGTCCAAGTTTTGAGTTGTGTAGGCTAAGTTAAAAGTCATATCTTTATGCTCCTTCAGAACTAGTTTTGCTTACGGTTCTGTCGTAATAGTATTTATTATTTGTGAGAAAAAGCTTCAATGGCCGTTGTTGCTGTAGCTTGTATGTGAGTGATGTAACCGGCTAAAAATTGGTTCCCTGGGACCTGATTTCGCTGGTCACAATCGACTTCACTCTTGGAAATCCTTTTGCTTCTCATCTGACCACAAATATGTGTTCGCAGTCAACCTGAGGGCTCATTATGGGCGATGCTCCTTGAGTGAAGGAAAGATAAAGTGGGTTCGGCGTTATTAAGTGGGCTATTAAGTCCTTTTCAGGGACGGGAGCCGCTATTCATCTTCAACTCAGAAATCCGTGTCGTACTTCAAGTTAGATTTTGATTAGCATAAATGTTGTGGCTGGGCAAGGCGGTCCAGTGCACAATGTCATTGTTTTTCCCACGCAGCGCATTTGTCGTTACAGCGCTCCGCTATTGAAAGGGATTCGGCTCTTCCGAAATTCCCCTTATTCCAGGGATCAAAAAGGCTGTAGGACTCATATCGAGGACTACGAAAAGTTGTTCCTTCTGCTCATAGTCACGTGAGCCTTGAAGAGCTTGGAAGTTTGGTCGGTATCCATGTTAATTCGTTCGATTTTTCTTGCATATAAATCATGCCACTACGCCGCGATAACGTCATCAATAGCTTTTTATGAGGGCTGATCCGCAAAGATAAGACACGGTGTGCCCTAGTTTACAGGAACGCGAACAGTAGAGTAGCATGGGGATCGGCAGTGTGTCGTTGCTGGTATTTAGAACGAGGGTAGAAAACCAGTGAGTCAATGATTAATAAGTTAGCCCTTCTGTGCTCGAATGATGGATTCTTTTGGCTTTCCTATCCAGCCGTGGCCAATCTGTCTTTGGGAGCTGACTGCTGATTAAATCGCTTGCTTCGCATTGGCATGGACAAGGCACGAAACGGCTCCTGAACTGTAACCCTCGCAAAATGTTGTCTTGCTGATGATGCTTGCTGATTTTCCTTTCTATAATAGGAGCCTTATGAATGACCCTATGAGCCTGAGTAGTAAGCCGTAATCTAGCTTGTGAAGTTTTTCAACGATAGCTCGGCATAACTTATGAGGCACGTTGGTTGCGAGTTGAAAATTTGGTTACGGTAGTGCAGGGAAGGAACTGAGAAAACATTTCTATGGAGTCGGCTCATAAGCTTCCCATCATCTGGGACGAAAATCCAGTGCGACCGCAAACATGGTATCAGCGAGGGAATGCCAAAGTATTGCCACAAGTACTCTTAGTGAACGTCATAAGTTAGGAGCTACATGAGGCGGAATCACTCCAGCCAGGCACGACGGACGTCGAAGTAACACTAAGGCGGCTTCATGTGTTACTTTCAACAAGCACTGCCCTTTGAATATCACAGGAGTCACGCCGATCAGCAAACTGGCTGAGGTGGGGTTCAGATTGATGGTCACCATGTAGCTAGAAGAGGAGGGAGAGTTTGGAATCAGCTAAGCTTAGATTATGGGAAAAGTTCTGCAAATCGAAG